TAAGAGCCCTAACTCATGCATGGTCTAAGATAACACATCAAGATTGCATTTTTATGGTTCCTAATAACTCCACAATGGATAAAGTTCCCAACTTTATCCATTAGAATGGTCCAACCAACCAAGATCTAGTCTTTAAGTCTCAAAGGGACCAAAAGCGCATCTTTTCCAACTTTATCTATTAAGTCCAAGTCTCAAGCTTTTAGATCTGAATCAATATGATGTTTATATGGATAAAGTTTCCAACTTTATCCATAACAAGGTCACAAACTTTCAAGATCAAAACTTTATGCACTAAAGTGACCAAAAACTCATAACACCCAAGAGTAACTAGATCTATCAAATGCATCATCAAGATTAAAACTTTATACCTCTTGAAGAAAGATCAAGGTGAGCAAAGTCTGAATCTACAAGCTCCAATGCAACCATCACTTCTCCAATGAGCTCCTTCTTCTCCAAGATGCACCGAGAACACTCCAAAGCACTTAAAAACACCTTCTTTTGCTCAAAAGGCTTAAACTAAGGTTAGGGTTTCAAGGGAGGGTGTTGGAGAGGTGGATGCTAAGAATGGAATGGGGTTGGAGAAGTTAAGGAGCTTAAATAGGGCTCAAACCACGAAAATAGGGGTTGGGCACTGATCGCGTATGCCCAACGTACTCCAGGTACGCCTGGTGTAATCCATGAATACCTTAGTATGCCCAACATACTCCAGGTACCCCCAACGTACTCCATATATGCCTAGTATGCCCAACATACTCCAGGTACGCCCAACGTACTAGACTAAGCCCCAAAACCTTCCTAACTTCAAACGGTCATAACTTATTCGTTCCAACTCCGTTTTCGACAATCTTTATATCCACGAAAAGGTAATGATAAGCTCTATAATCTTATCAACTCTCCTTTACCTTAAAACTTTCTGAACTTAAATCCAAAATTCATAAAAGGCCCGAACTATCACTTTACGGTTATACCCATGGGCTCCAAAGCACCAACCGAAGTCTCGGATCACCTAATCTACATTACCCACATCCAAAGCGGCCTAAATCTCTTTCTACCCCAAGGCCTGAAGCCTTATGATAACCGATCTTTGGGTCATGGCCCCGTATTATGAAACGATTCGAAACAGGGTGTTACAGTATAGTTAGTTATTTTGCTCACTATAAACAGTCAGTGTCGTCTAAGTAAGTGTACATAATATCACTTAGACACACTGATCTGTATGAGCTTGTTAGTTTAGATAGTATGAAGTTACTGAAGAATCTGAAGATATCTAATAAAGAACCATGTTACTTAAGCAGTGAAGACTGAAGACTAAAGATCGGATCTAAGGCATCATGAACTGATTAGATCTGGAGCTGGAGACTAAAGACTTCATCAGCATCAGCATGATGCAGTGGCAACATCAATGTCTGATGTCATCAACATCTAGACATCAGCGTATCAACGTCTAGACCAGTGACCCTGATGGTTATACAACTCTTAGTGAGCTGGCGTCCGAGAAGCATAAAGAAGATTATTATGGACGTTCTTATTTGAAGATATGGTTATTCAAGGAAGTTATCAATTCCTATAACTTATGAGTTGATATATATGAGTTAAATAGAGATCAGAAGATATTCTCTCAGAAATATACTCCTACCTTTTAGGTAGTCGGTTAGGCTAGATTAGTATATATAGGAGACATTCTCTTGGTGAGAATGTTGATGATGTGTATAGAATTCGTGAGGTATATTTCTGAGAGATTGTAATATTTCTGCTTTGTGCACCCGTTCTCTTTGTGAGAACATTCTTTTTTAGTGAAAGGTATCTTTGTCATAATCCTTTGTTCTTCCATTGTTCTTTCTTGTTTGTATCCGATCTACGAATCTACAAAGGGTTTAGGACCAACAAAAATAGAAAGGATATAGCTCGCCAGACATTGTTGTCTGATGTTGTAGAGATGTTTCATGTTTTGTAGGTTCAGGTAGCAGCATCTGTGGTACCAGAAGTGAAGACATGATCACAAGGACTTAGAATATGTTTTATTTCCTTGTTCTAATTTGTATGAATATTTTTTTTTTCTTTTTTTGTAAACTTGTGACTATGCATGGGATATAAAATGTTTTTATTTTTATGAGTTAATAGAATTCTGCAAATTTTTAGTAATAACTATGATAATCCCATTAGATTAGATATTAGAAAGTCCGGGTCGTTACAGTTAGGGTTTGGGTTTTAGACTTGGCTTAATGGTGTAATGGATAAAGTTAGGAACTTTATCCATTAAGTCCCATAGAAGCTTCAGATCCGAGCTTTTGAGCTTTGAAAGTTAAGGATTAAGAGCTTAAATGATTAATTTGTCTTTGACGTTCACCGCAACGTGATGGGTAGGGGTAGCTGACCTCGACTTCAACCGCAATGTGTAATCGTCTATTTTGTCATTTAATGAGCATGAAGCGGTAAAGGGGTTTGGCCGCAGCGCGGTGGTTTGTGGTGGTTAACCATTAACTTTTTGACAAATTTGATTTTTGTTCAACTTAGAGGTGTTGAGCTATAGAATGAAGTTTAGTTTTGTGTTTGGTTTAGGCAGTTCGTGTAGTTGATTCTTTGAGAGTTCGAATAGTTGGATCCAGTTCTTGGATTCATGTGAGTCTTCTCACTATACTATGTAGGATGCTAGATGTTTGTTGTCTTTATAGCTCTTGCATGATTATTTGTATGTATGTTGGGTGAGGCCAACTATTATGTTTATTGGGTGAGACCCGTGGGCGAGGCCGGTTTTATGTATATTGGGTGAGACCTGTGGGCGAGATCCATTTTATGTTATTTTAGGCGAGACCCGTGGACGATGCCCGTTTATATGTTTGTTGGGCGGGGCCCATTTATATACATGTTCGGCAAGGTCCGTTATATGCATGTGGTATGTGATATTTTTGGAAACTCATTAAGCTTCGTGTTTACGGTTTTAAGTTTAAATGTTGCAGGTCTTTTTGGTAGTACATGAAAAAGCACGACGTGATTGCATCACATCTGTTGTTATGATTTTGAGATATTTCACACTTATGAATTTATTACTTCGATTTATGTTATCAAATAACTGAATATTACTTTTTATGATTCAATGGTATGGTTTACTCTGTTTTAAAAATTAAAATTTTGGTTTAAAAATTTGGGACGCTACAACTTGCATGAATTTTTTTTTCTTAGTTTGCATTTAGCACTAACATTTATGTCTAAGTTTGCGTTTAGCCCCTACTTTTTTTTTGTTCCTATTTGTCATTATTTTTTGATTTTTTTTTTCATTTTAGTGATTGACCGGTCACCAATAGATATTTTAAAACGTAATAGTTTAAAATGAAAATGAAAGAGGTACTCAACGCAAGAGTCAATCTCGTGACTTCTCATTAAGGGCTGGGGCATGTTAATCGATGAGCCATATGATCTTTTTGTTATCATATAAAAATCTATTGTGTTGTGTCAAACCATCATAATATGAATCAACATGTTACCTATTGTTATAATAAATATATTTATCAAAATACCATAACATAATAGAAATTATTTTAAAAATATACATTGTAATAAGAAATTATAAAAGTACAAAGTTATAATAATTAAAAAAAGAACTTTCAATTCTATTTCTTACATTTAACCCTTAAAATTCTACCTATTGATATCATGACTACTTATTGACCGGTCAATTATCCATTTTTTTTTAAAAATATTATGACTTATAAAAAACAAAAACAAATAGTGGAGCTAAAACATGACAAGACTATTAATTAAAACAATCTAACATTTTAAAAAAATATAAAAATAAAGTTGAGAACCAAAGGGCGTCTGGGCTTTTGGGCCAGTGGTATTTGGTGTTGCGTTCCCTCATTGTCGAAACTTTGTTAGGGACATAGATGAATTTAGGAGAATATTTAGGAATAGAATAGATTTGCTGTTAAAAAATAATAATAATAATAAAGTTGAAAATTATAACGAAAGTCTGGACAAAATCGTTGATTTTTTTAAAAGCGTCAAAACAAATGAAGTTTCGTGTGGCTGTCATGGGTCTGAATTCGAGAAAGAAAAAAAATTAAAACATGGACTATTTAATTAAGTTGTTTCTCACACATGGATTATTTATGTGTATTTGAGAACTACGGAGACCAAAATGAAAAAAATATATATATATTGTTGTCGATCTATTTTTAGTTTGTCAAATGTTACTAATTTTAGTAAGAGGAGCTATCATTTTGTCAAATGTAAACGTGTATATAATTTGTCATGAATGATATTAATTTACCACTCAATTCTAGAACATGAAAAAAAAAAGTATATTAAGCCACTGTTTTTTCATCTATTGTTCATAATTTTTTGATTTAGCAAGTGACATATCTAAAATGTTTTGTTTAAAATATAATAATTGTCCCGTTTATTTTACGTTTGTTTTTAAGTATTCCAATATTGATGCGGTGTAGAAAGGACGGTTTTGAAGGTTCCAAAAGCACTATCAAGTTTTCACCACAAAAAATATATATATTCTAATCTATAATGTGAATTAGAAGCTACTAATTTTAAACCTAAAATTCCATCTTGTAGAATTTGGTATCATAAAACAGTTCTCTTTATAATAAGATATCAAATCACAACCAAATCAAATCCATCAACCAAAGAATCTGTTGTCAGTTGAAAAATAAAATATCCTCAACCAGAAAATCAAGTCTCCCTCGGAACTAAAAAAATATATAGATAAATAAAATAAAATAATGAGTATATGAGTTATCTGGAAAAAAAAAACAACAAGAAAAAAACAAGAAAGACGTGCAACCCGCTGCCCATTTTCAATTTAATTTAAAAAATTCAATGCCAAATTGCCACAGTCGATTGAGTCGTTTCAGTCCAAGATTCGATACGTGAATTTTATATATATATATATATATATATATATATATATATATATATATATATATATATATATATATATAATCTGCCCATTGCATACCGTGATATTTATCCAGAGCTATTTCTTAAGAAACATGGTTGGTAATGGCCGTTCAAATCCTAGTGATGTAGATGGTAAGAAATCCGAAACTGAAAGTAACAAACGAGCCCCAACCTCGAAACCTCCCTTTACATTAGCAGATATCAAGAAAGCCGTACCTCCTCACTGTTTCGAAAGATCTTTGATTCGATCCTTTTCATATATTGCGTATGACCTCACCTTAGTCTGGATCTTGTACCACCTCGCCACAACATATATTCCACAGCTCCCTCACCCTCTTCCTTACCTTGCCTGGCCGGTTTACTGGTTCGTTCAAGGTTGTGTGTTCATCGGAATTTGGGTTATTGGTCATGAATGCGGTCACCATGCTTTCAGTGACCATGTATGGGTAGACGATTGTATAGGGTTTGTTATACACTCATGCCTTCTAACGCCTTAATTTTCTTGGAAAATAAGCCACCGCCGGCACCATTCTAATACTGGTTCTTTTGACCGTGACGAAGTATATGTCCCAAAGACAAAATCAAAACTCGGTTCTTCTGCGTTTTACCTGGACAATCCAATAGGTCGAACGTTAACCCTTGCTGTCAAACTCAGTCTCGGATGGTATATCTACTTGTCCATCAATGCTGCCGGAAGACCTTATGATAAATTCGCAAGCCACTATGATCCAAGAAGCCCTATTTTCTCTGATAACGAGCGAGTCCTGATCCTCATCACTGACATCGGACTTGTCAGCTTTTCTTTCTTGCTGTATAAAGTGGCCACATTTGCAGGGTTCGCTAATGTTTTTTGTGTCTACGGAGGCGCGTTGATGGTCATGAACGCATTTCTTGTTACCATCACATACCTTCAGCACACTCACCCTTCTTTGCCCCGCTACGACGACTCTGAATGGAACTGGATGAATGGTGCTTTCTCAACAATGGATAGGGATTACGGGGTTCTGAATAAGGTGTTCCATAACGTTACTGACACACATGTCGTACACCATTTGTTTTCTTACATTCCTCATTATCATGCCATGGAAGCCACCAAAGCGATCAGGCCAATTGTGGGAGAGTTTTATCAAAAAGATAGCACTCCATTTTTCATGGCGTTATGGAGAGAATCCAAGAACTGTCTGTTTATTGAGCCGGATGAGGGTGATGAGAAGAACAAAGGTATCTACTGGTTCAGAAGTCAGTACTGATCAAGAAAGCATGCAAACAAGTGAAAAGGGAATAAACTGATGTTATCCTATGTAATTTGTATCTTTGTTTTTCCTACTTTTATGTAATTGTGTAATTCCTACAAACATCTTCATCTCCATCTCCATATCTCAATGTTAGCGGATCACATCCCGAAAGTCCAGTGGGGTGAACAATTAACCATTGATCGGTCCGTTGACCGTTGACCGTTGACCATCCCGCAATAGTCCGATATCGATTACCCCAAAATCGATTTCGAAAACATATGATTATCCGGGAATGCATAAACTAGTACATTTCATGTTGAAGTGAAACAACTCTTCTCTTGAACCGTTCTAGCATATCCAGTAGCTATGAAGCAATGTTATTATAATCTTTATTTGACAAAACACCTAAAAAGATTGGATCCTACGATACGGTTGCGAAAATTAAAAAGCAAATTAATGGAATATGACCAAAATCGTTCTCCTTGTATTATGTTGGCAAATATATATAGATACAATATTTACACTTTGGTACCACATAGATTACATAATTCAGTTGCTAGTCTAATATACCCCCTCAGTCTAAGGAGGAGGATGACGGATGCTTAGACTGGATCTAAAATCCAAAAATAGAGCTCGTGGGAGGCCTTTGGTGAATATGTCGGCAATTTGGTAACGTGAGGCGACATGTAAGACCCGGATTTGGCCGTGTTGAACCTTTTCACGCACAAAGTGAATGTCGATTTCAATGTGTTTGGTCCGCTGATGCTGAATTGGGTTTTCTGACATGTAGATGGCGCTGACGTTGTCACAATAAACGAGAGATGTGCGTAGCGGATGGTGACCAAGTTCGAGAAGGAGGTTTATGAGCCAACAAATTTCTGCAACCACGTTCGCGATGCCTCTATACTCTGCCTCTGCACTAGAACGAGACACGGTCGTTTGACGTTTAGCTGACCATGAGATTAGATTATCACCCAAAAACACACAATAGCCCAATGTAGATCTGCGTGTGTCTGGACATCCGGCCCAATCGGCGTCGATATATGCGGTGAGAGTGGAAACCGAGTTGCGATGCAAGTATAAGCCCATGTTAATGGTTCCTTTAACGTACCTAAGAATACGTTTTAGAGCATGCAAGTGAGACATCCGAGGAGCATGCATGTGCATGCAAACTTGCTGGACGGCATACGAGATATCCGGACGTGTGAATGTGAGATACTGTAAGGCCCCAACGAGCCTGCGATATGTTGTAGGATCGTTAATTAGTTCCCCTGAAGAGCTACTGAGCTTCCTTTCGGTGTCCACAGGGGTATGTGCAGAATTACAGTGAGCCATGTTTGCTCGTCGAAGTATATCAGATGCATATTTCTCTTGTGATAAAAATAACCCTTTTGGGTCACGTTTGATGGAAATGCCCAAGAAGTAGCTGAGGTTGCCCAAGTCCTTCATGGCAAACTCGGTAGACAGACGGGTTAGGAGATGCTATCGGAGAGTCGGTGAGGATGTGGTGAGAACAATATCGTCAACATATAATAGGAGATAGGCTGTATCATTGCCCTGTTTGTAGATAAACAAGGAGTGATCGTACGCATTGTGGTAAAAGCCTAGCATGGTGACATAATCGGTGAATCATTGGAACCACGCGCGAGGTGCTTGTTTCAAGCCGTAGAGGGACTTCTTTAGACGACAAACATGATGTGGAAAGGAAGGATGTCGGAAACCCATGGGTTGATGTATATACACTGCATCTGCTAAATCCCCATGTAAGAAGGTCGTTTTGACGTCCTACTGATTTATTGCCCACTGATTTGTCAATGCAATGCTAAGGACCGTGCGAATAGTCGCTGGTTTTACAACTGGGCTGAATGTCTCTTCACAATCGACTCCACCTTATTGTGAGTTTCCATCACAAACCAAATGCGCTTTGTTGCGCTCAAGAGATCCGTCATATTTTGTTTTATGTTTAAAAATCCACATGCACCGGATGATGTTCATGTCGGAACGTCTTGGTACTAATTTCCATGTATTATTATCAATAAGGGCATTAAATTCATCTATCATGACATGGTTCCAAACGGGATTGTTAAGGGCTTCGGTAGGGGTGCGGGGAAGAGGTTCGACGGGAATAGAGGTATGGAGATTAAATAATTGTTTGGGTTTGGATGAGCCGGTCATGCTTCTTGTGCGCATGTTATGGGTGGGTGGGGGTGACAGATGAGGGATAGGTGTGGTACAGGTGGTTGGGGTGGCGGATGGGGGATAGGTGTGGTACAGGTGGGGGTGTTGGATTAGAAATAGGTATGGTGGGTGTGTTGCTTGGTTGTTCCGGTAGTGATTGTTGTGTTTGAGGTGTTGCTGGTTTATTTCGGAGGATGTAAGTTTTGAGGGTGGATTTTGGTTGAGGTTGTGTGGTGGGAGGTGTTGGTGATGTGGTGATGGTTTGAGGAATGGGGTTTGAGAGATGAGGATTTGGGTTTGGAGGTGTGGGTGGAGATGTGGGTGGAGATGTGGGTGGAGATGTGGGTAGAGATGTGGTTGTGGTAGATTCCCAGATAGATGGATGTAGATCACTCGATTGGTTTGAGTGAAGGAAGTCATAACAGGGAGAGAGAGAATGAGTGTTAGCAAATGGGAAGACCTTTTCGTCAAAGATGACGTGACGAGAAATGATTATCTTTTTCGTGGATAGTTCATAGCATTTATAACCCTATGGTTAGGGATACCCAAAAAAACACATGGGGTGGATCTGTTTTCGAGTTGGTGGATAGAGGTGGATGGGATAAGAGGATAGCATAAACAACCAAAAGTACGAAGGTGGGTGTAGGTGGGATGTTTGTTGTATGGAAGGAGTGTGGCGGTGTTGTTGTTTTTGGTTTTGGATGGTAGGATGTTTAAAATATAGGTGGCCATTTAAAGGGCATGATGCCAGAAATTTGGGGGGAGAGAGGCGTGGGTGAGATGGGTGCGCACGATGTTGTTTATGGATCTAATTTTCTTTTCGGCCTTCCCATTTTGAAAGGAAGTGTGAGGGCAGGAAAATCTAAAAACCTTCCCGTGTTGAGTACAACAATTATGGAATGATTGATTGTTGTACTCGGTACCATTATCACATTGTAAAATTTTAATTTCTTGTTCAAATTGCGTGCTAATGAGTTTGTAGAAGTTTAAGAAGGCGGGATATGCATGGGATTTATTTGTGAGAGGATATGTCCATAGATAATTTGTGTAATCATCTAAAAATAAGATATAATAGCGGTGACCCCCCGAGCTGAGAACCGGGGAGGTCGATAGATCACTGTGTATGATATCAATGGGCAAACATGTAACATATGAGGAATAATAAAATGGTAGCTTAACATGATTACCAAAAACACACGATTGACATAAATGTTTTTATGAAAAAGTCTTAACAGAAATGAAATTGCGTTTATTTAAGACACGTAATAAAGATGAGCTAGGGTAGCCTAGGCGTTTGTGCCATAGATCTTGTGTCAGGGCAGCAAAGGTGGAAAGAGGATTGACTTGTGCAGAAGGAAGTGAGAGAGGATAGAGATCTCCACTGCTGTTACATCGAAGGATAGGAATCTGCGTCTGATAATCCTTCACAAGAAAAGAAAAACTATCAAATTCAATAGAGATAGGATTATCGGTAGTTAAACGACGAACAAAAAGAAGGTTTTTGATTAGTTTAGGTGCATGAAGAATATGATTAAGTTGTAAATGTGGGTAGGGTGGTGGTAGTTTTGTGTGACCGGTGCCATGGATGGGTATTTTAGAACCATTGCCAACAACAATATTATTTTGTATGCCATTATTGAAGTAATTGGAAATATTACCAGACATGTGGTTTGTGGCGCCGGACTCAAGATACCAATTCTGGTCCGGGTTTAACTTCATAGTGTGCATGGCCTGTTCAATGTTGGTTGGAGTGTGGGAGGCCGTGTAGTTGTATGGATTAGCGCCAAGGATGCCTACAAAGGATGTATTACTATTTTGTAGTCCGTGAACCGGGGCAGTGGGGAATGGAGCAGGTGGAAAATTCCATTGAGGTTCCTGCCAAGACGTATTCCACCCGAATGGTGGTTGTTATGGGTAGTAGTTCTATTGGTAGGAGCGTCCTCGACCCCGACCTCGACCACCACGGCGTTGTTGTAATCGGATTGATCAGGTTGACCGCGTCCACCAGTCTTGCGGTATTGTTGGTCGTTCGGCTGTTGTTGGAGACGACGATCGCTGGTGTTGGTGGTGATCTGTGTGTTCAAGGGTGCCACGTTGTCGATTGTACTGGAGGTGGAAACAAGGTTGGTGCTGGTACTTGAGTTATGGTTCTGTCGAGTTTCTTCCAAGATTAGTTTTGACCTGGCTGTGTAAAAATCCGGTAGAGGAGTGGACTGTTGGAGCATGGTGGTGAGACTGTCATACTTATCTCCAAGGCCATTAATCAACTGAAGGACCAGGCGATCATTGGTAACCGGTGTATTAACATTAGTGAGTTGATCAGACAAGGTTTTAAGTTCTTGACAATAAGAAGATACATTATAAAAGGATTCCAATTTGACATTGTTAAACTTGTTTTCTAGGTACAGAGCCCTTGTTGATTTGTTGTCAATAAAAACATTTTCCAATGATTTCCAAGCCTGAGAAGCTGTGGAATCGGGTTTTAGAATGGTGATTAGGAGATCTTTAGAAATCGTACTATAAATCCATTGGAGAACAATAGAATCCACTTGTTTGTAAAGAGCCACTGCATCTGCGTTTTCCTTATCTTTTTCAGTTGTAGGTTTAGGAGTAGGACCTTCCTTTGGTAAAATATGATGAATAACGTCGTGAGAATGACAATGAATCTTGAATAGTTCCACCCAAGATGTGTATTGGCCGTCATCCATCTCGAGAATGATGGGAATGAAGTTCCGAATATTGGTGACAGTAGCATCAGGATGTAAGGAAGTCATCGATTAGAATAGGATCAAAAAAGATGAAGACGATTAACCTTTACGGAAGATGGTTGGTCGAGT